TTACTGAACATCCTTGTTGGAAACCTTGCTGCCTATTGCTTTGGGGAATGGAGCCATCGCTTCCCTCCTCTCCAGATGGGTTGTCCCACTGCTTGGTTGCTCAAGTCGGGGTTGGGGGCTTGACAAAGCAACACCGTGGAACAAACCAAGGAGGCTTTGTCTCTGAGGTGCGTGTCCCGGCTAGTGCACATCTGCCACTCTTGGCTCCCCAAAGAGGTCCTGGAGCCTGATGGTGTGAAGAGGGCCCAACTGAACCCCACGAGGCTGGGCACAGCTTGCCCGTTCACCTGGCAGGATCACTCCTCCTGCCTGCCTGTCCTGGCCGCCCCCCTGCCCTCCTGTTGACTCACATGGGAACTGGCAGCAGGGGGCTGCAGTCATTCCCTCCGCTCCTCGCCAGACTGTCTCTGCTCCCCACATTCCTGGTGGCGTCCCGGCTCCATGTGACCTCGGCTTCTAATATTCTTCGGGGTCATTCAGACTGTACAGCTGGCCCCACTCTGGGCTTCTCAGCCTCATTAAAGCCAAAATGCCATCTTTTACTGCCCTGCTCTTTCCATCAAATTCTTCAAGCAACCCGAGTTTTACAAGCGAGATGACTCTCGGTGAGCTCTTCCTCTGGAGACAGGGAGCCTGGGCTTCAGTAGGGTCTGGACTGGGCCATATCATTGATATTTTTTTAACGGTAGGTCTAGAAAATAAAGATCAAAGGTGAGTGACCCTCCAGGAAGAAGGATTAAGTGGGTTAACTTGGGAGGTGTTCAGCCTGGAGGCACTGCTGAGGAACTTAATCTATTTTGTGTTTCGCTTCGCGAGCCAAAGGCAGTTATGGTGTAGGAATGGCTTTCTCATGCTGTCTCTCCCTTTCTCCATTCTACAAAAATATTTATGCCAAAGAATATGCAGATTGTATAAACATCCCTTCAAAAAAGCACATAAAGATATGTATAGTCACAACGGTCTCCTTCCAAATGGGTGTGTTCCTAGAGATGCATCGAGATATCTTTCATACCCTATACATAAAAAACAGCCAATTTAGGAATTGGCAGAGCAGTCTTGCCTAAGTGAGTAGAAAACTTTGGCTCGGGGCTCTCCAAACAATCCCATAAAACCCACGCTTGCTTTTATTGAATGGTGATGCATGAAAGACCAAGGGTGGCCAACTCGAATGAAGGAAGGAGTCAATGTTCACAGGATTGTCATAAAGGGTGGCAGGAAAGTTTCTTTTTGCTGAAATTCAATCTATTCCTTGAAAAAACTATTTGCTTCTAATACTGGCTGGCGGGATGTCACTCTTATGTTCCCTTCTGCTGTAACATCATTTGAACTCATCAATGTTCAAGTTGTTACTTTTACACTTGGCCTTCTTGCCTCCAGTCCATCCATTTCAGCCTCCACGCCACTGGCTGCCAGAATAATCTTTTTAAAAGGAAAATCAAATCTATTACTTTCCTACTTAAAACCCTTTGGTGGCTCCCCATCGCCTGCTAAAGTGCAAATTCTTTAGCTTAGCAGACAAACTCTTTCAACCATCTGTCTTTTTTTCATTTTTTTTTTGAGAGGGAGTCTTGCTCTGTTGCCAGGCTGGAATGCAGTGGCGCAATCTCGGCTCACTGCAACCTCCCTCTCCTGGGTTCAAGTGATTCTTCCACCTCAGCCTCCCGAGTAGCTGGGACCACAGGTGCATGCCACCACGCCTGGCTAATTTTTGTATTTTTAGTAGAGACGGGGTTTCATCATGTTGGCCAGGATGGTCTCCATCTCTTGACGTTGTGATCCGCTCGCCTCGGCCTCCCAAAGTGCTGGGATTACAGGCATAAGCTACCATGTCCAGGTGTCCTTTTTACATTTTAAGCCATTCCATGAAGTCCCTCAGCCCTGTGCACCCTCCACTCCAGCCATTTCAGACGGCCTTTGAGGCCACAGTCTTCCAAGCCTCATGCATTTGCACACACAGTTTCCTCCACCGGCATATGCCCTGAGGATATGAGTGGGACAGTGATAGCATCTGTGTTCAGAGCAAGGGGATTAGGAAGATGATGTGGTAGAGTTGGAGTGGTACTTTTAAGTAGGGTGGCCAGAAGAGCATACTTGAGAAGGTGATTTTTAGTGAAGGCTAAAGGAGATGAGGTATGCAGATATCTGAGGGAGGAGCATTTCAGGCAGCGGGAACGGCAAGTGGAAGAGCACTGAGGTGGGCATGCGCCTGGTGCCTTCAAGGAATAGTTGGAGCAGGGTAAGTAATAAAGGGGTGAGGTGTCTGGAAGTCTGGGTGAGAACCGTGGGGCTCTTGACCCAAACGCTGGCCAGTGTTGTCAGTGGGAATGAGTGACGTTGAGACAGCTGCTTGGGTGTGCACTGCTTGGAGGTTGCAACACTTTGCCTATAATGAAGATGAATCTAAAAGTGGTTCTGAAAATGTCAGGCTCTGGACTTTACCTTCTCCCAACCTGCATCCACACAGTCTCAACAAAGCCATTCTAGTAGAATTTGACACCCTGATGACTGAAAAACCAGACATCTTTGAGGAGGCATTAATGTTTAGTTAGGGTCCAGGACTGGGTAAGTAATCCTCATCCTCAGGGGCTACCTGGGGTGCTACACCCATACCCGGTCTATTATGTTCTCAACAGCAATTTATTTTATCAGCTCTTCCCATTCCCATTTTATAAACATTTATGGTAATGGCATATGTAGATCTTTCAATTCCTTGGAAAAATTGTGAATCAAGGTGTCATACTTCTCCCCTACGTTTTGATTGTGGCAAAGTATACAGAACATGAAATTGACTGTTTTAATCATTGTTAAGTCTACAGTTCTGCGCCATTGAGTACATTCACACTGTTAGACAATCACCATATCCTTCTCCAGAACTTCATCCTCCCCAGCAGAAGCTCTGTATCCTTTCAGCACTAACTCCCCCTCATTTTACTTTCTGTCTGCATGAATTTGATCACTCCAGGACATCATACAAAGGAAATCATACGATATCTTGCGAACTGGCTTTTGTGGCTGGCTTATTTCACTTGGCATAGGTCTCCAAGTTTATCCATGTTGTAGCATATATCAAAATTTCCTTTCTTTCTAAAGCTGAACAATATTCCATTGTATGCTTGTGCCACACTTTGTTTATTTTTTCATTAATCGATGGACACTTGGGTTGCTTCCATGTTTTGACTTTTGTGATAATGTTACTATGAACATAGGTGTACAGGTATCTGCTCTCACTTCTTTCTCACCCCTTCTTTAAGGGTAGTCTTTGAGCAGAAGCACCACTTGGTGGCTTGAATCCATCCGGATGGCTGCCCTTCTTCCTTCTCCTGGCTTGGCTTGATTAACTCAGTTGATGATGAAGGCCGTTTCTGATGAGTTCAACCCTCGACTGCCAGAAACTTGGGCTCTGAATGATCTATACAGGAGTAAATAGGTGATGACTTTTCTAATGTCACTCCTTGGGAAATTGCTAACACTGCTGGAAACAGAGACTAGGGAGTTCTTCAGGGTGGGGTCTTCTCATCCTCAGATGGGGGCCCCTCAGGGCTTGAGGCTACAGAAGATGGGTGGTATTCTGCCTGGGAGAATCAGCAGGCACATCCCAGCCAGGGCTCCTGGACATCTCTTTGGAGGTTCTGGCCTGTCACTTGTAGCAGAGCCTGGAGGAAGCCAAGGCCACGGTTTCAGCTGCCCCTGGACAAACCCACCCCACTCAGCGGCTACAGGCTGCATTGCTACTCTTAGTCAGCTGACCTAAACAGTACTTGGACTTGAACAAAACAACATGAAAATTGCAAAAGAAATTTATATTTTAAAAATCACATGCTTTCACAATAGAATATGCCCAAATATGAGAGAGAATGAAATGAACCGAACAAACACGGGTGTTGGAATCAGCCAGATACAGATTAAGACATGAATCTTATCAGCCATGGGGTTGGTCCAAGCCATCCAAATCTGTGAGCTGCAGCTTCCCCATTTACAAATGAATACAGGGTCATTAAATGAAAGAAAAAAACATGAAACTTGCTTTTATTGAGCGATCCTTGCTGCATATTAGAATCACCTGGAGAGATTTTAAAACCTAGGATGCCTGGGTATGACTCCTACAGATGCGATTTAATTGGTCGGGGGCATGGATGGTGCTTATAAAACTCCCCAGGTGATTTTAATGTGCGGTCAAGGTGGCATATAACTGGCCTAGAGTGTATCAGACCCTCCACAAGTGCTAGCTCTCCTCAGTCCTCCTACCATGCCTGCAAAAACTCTGTAAAGCACATGCCCTCCCTCGCAGGGAATAGCCTTTGGCATCGGCTACCTTGGTTAGTGTCGCAGCTCTGTGCCAGCGACCAGGATTCCTAACATAGCCAAGCCTCAGTTTCCTCAATGGTAAGATGGAATTGATAACAGAAACCACTTGTAGTTTTCTGTGAAGATTAGAAGAGATAACACATGGCTCCTACTGTGAGCATGGTCAGTGCCAAGTCAAGAATCCCATCATTTCCACCACAGCCAGCCCTTCTCACCCCCTCCCTCCCTAAAACCTAATGCAGAGAAACCAACCCTCCTGTTCCCTGCAGAGGGCTGGTCAATTCCAGCTCTCTTGCTGAGCCACGTTCCTAGGAGATGCCTGGTGAGAACTTGGGACCAGATTGAGTCAGAGGTATTTGTAGACTTGACTCACCAGGTCTTAAAACCAGAAGATTGCCCTGTGGGTCTCATGACGTTCCTGGAAAATAAAAGAAGTGAATATTATTAGGCTGAGTTCATCCGACACTCAGCCCTCCCTTTTGTATGCTGGTGGCTCTGAAGAGAGCAGGCAGCAACTCAGCCAAGTCTGAACCATCAAAGGCAATGGTCTGGTTGCAGTGCTGGGAGATGTTGCTTCTGCAGACAGGTCTGTTACTCTTTCCAGATCTCTTCCCCATATGTCCCCCAAGGCTACAGACTTTCTCCTCCCTCCAGGTTCCTGGGGAAATATTTCTGAGGGCTGCCTCTGGTGAGGTATGTCAGAGCTGAGCTATTTTGGAGGGTTGGGTGTGGGCTGGGAAGGGGCCACCCAGATTCCAGAGAACAAGGAAGGGAAAAAGTCCCTCTTCTGGAGCCAGGATTTCTGGAACCTTGCACTGAAGCAGCAGCCAGGTAGGGGACCCATTTCTCTACGCCTTCTTTCCCTGCACCCCTCCACATCTCTAACAATAATAAGTCCTGTTGTTTCCACATCCCAGCTGTCTCTAGAATCTACTTATTTGCATCTCCAGAGCCACAACCCTAGCAAAAGTCACTGCCACTTTATAATTTCTCACTTGCAACTGCAGCCTCTTGTTCTATTGCTTCCACTCTGTCTATCCCGGTCCTCCCAACCTATCCCTCCTATCCCTCCACCCGGCCACCAGCAGACAGGTAAACTTTTCCAAAATATAAAACTGATCATGACACATACACGCATATGCACATAGAAGCTTAATATATTTTCAAAGTGTCACATTGCTCTTGGGATAAAGGCAAAACCTCTGAACAAGTCTGACAAGCCTACGTACATCAAGATTTGATTTGGCTACGAGTGACAGAAATCCCAAGTTAATAGGGGTTTGAATAGGTAAGATTTTATTTTCTATGTGAAGAGTCTGTGGTTCAACCAGCCAGGATTAGCACAGCAACTCCTTAAAGTGATGGGGGACTCAGACTACTTGAGTTATCTGCTCTGTCATCCTTAGTGTGTGGTTTTCACTTCATTGCCCAAGAGGGCTGCTTGGGCTCCAGCCATTGCAATCAAATCTCAGATCACAGGAAGGAGGAACTGCACACAGCACTTCGACTTGCAGCCTTCTGTGCAGAATTTAGTCACACGGCTACAGGTAGCTGAAAGAGAGGCTAGAAAATGTAATATTTTTTTCCAAGTGGCCATAGCTCAGCAAAAAAGGAGGAAGAAGGGAAGAATAGCTGTTGAGTGATACCTGGCAGTGTAGATCATATAGTGCTCCTCTCCTGAGCATCACTGACTGCATGCTTTCTTCCCTTGGCTCTCTGCACTCCTATCACACTGGCTTTCTCCAGATGTTCCACACATTTGCAACACTCCCTCCCGCCCTAGGCCCTTGCTCATGCTTTAGTGTTCTCCCCTCCCTCCTACCTAATTACTAATCCTTCAGAACTCCACTCAAGCAGAATTCCCTCAAAGAACCTTCCAAAGGTCAGACGCTTCTATTTAGAGGGGATTTTTTAAATCTTCCTCTTGCATGTTTAGCTCATAACATGTAGATTGTGTCACTGTTGCGATTACACATTTGCTTTGTGTGATTATTTTCTGCCCCCATGATGAGGACAGACTTTAGGCTTGGTTTTGTGCACTATGGGGCATCCTGCCTGGCACATAGTAGATGCTCAGTAAGTATTTCTTGAATGAATCAATGAATAAATTTAGATATTACCTAAAATGCATTAAAGGGGGGCCAAGAATTAGGCAAAAGATTTTCCTGGGGCCAGTCATAGGGAGTGGCTGAGTGGGGTTGGGAGATGCATTCTAAATAGTTCATGGAAATCTAGTAGGCTTTAGGTGTGGTGGAGAAAGTGCTGACCTGGAACTTAGAAGACCTGCTTTCTGATCTCAGCTCAGCCATCAACAGTGGGCCACTGCCTGGAGACAGAAATGGTCAGATGTTGGGTATATTTTGATGGTAGGGCTGACAACAATTGCTGGAAGATTGCATGTGGGAACTGAGGGAAAGAGAAGGGTCAAGCATTAGTCCTGGGTGTTTGGCTGAACACATAAAAGGCCATTTATCGAGAAGGGGAAGACGGTGAAAGGAACAGGTTTTAAGGAGTGGGTCTGAAGGTCTTATTTGCAAATGAAACACATGTTCCCATAGCCAGGTGCACACTTTGACTTTTCCACAGAGGAAACCTGAGCCCCGGGCTGCTGGATGTCCGTGGTGGGGCATGCCAAATGGATGTAAAAAAAGGTTAACGGCCTCCCACCACCCCCACAAGAAACCCTCAAACAACTGGCCTTTCAAGGTGCATAGTTGCCAGCCAAGTTATTCAGCTCAGCTCAGCAACAAGATTGAAGAGAAAGTGGTCAGAAGACCTTGATACCAGGCTTGGTAGGAAGCAGTCACTTTCTGCTAAAAGGTCAGTGATGAGGGAAGGCATATCCATGAGGAGTCACTGCAGAAATCTTTGAAAATTCAGAAAATTACAATCCCATTACATGCTGAACATGCCTGACATCACCATGTATTTCCCCCGAATGTTTATGACACACATTTCCTATAAGCAATGGCGCTCATCTGCATAATGTGTTTTGGCAATTTCCCTTTCTCACTAAACAGTATCATGCATGTTTCCAAGTTGCTTTCCAGAGAGGCTGTACTGATCTATTCAACTAAAATCAGTGTATTAGAATGCTTCTCTCCTGGCAATCTTGTTCACAGTGAGTGTTAGCAGAAGAATACTTGGACAGTTTTATAAGTGAGAAATAGTAATTCATTATTATTTTCATTTGCAGGTCAAAAAAATTTCTGGAGATCCTGAATACTTCTTGAATGCTTGTTAATTATATGTTTTTTTCATGTGACTTTTGCAAAGATACTTCTAGGCTTGGAAGGAACCAGAATCACCAACATTTAGTGAAATCTCACTTCCTTAACCTCAAGAAGTAGCATCTCTCCCCTCAAAAACCAATCATGTGTATGAGGAGGCAGGGGTGGCAAAGCAGAGAGAAGTGCTATGATGGAAAGTTCGCACTCAATCACTGGGTGACAAAGGCTCACACCCCAGCCTCTGGTCCACCTTCTTGCGAATAAGGCTAAAAACGATAAGTAAATCAGTGCTAACTGTAGCTGGTGGGTGTCTGCTGTGGGGCTCTCCTGGATTTCCACCCTAATCTGATCTGCCAGCTGGATTTGGATATACAGAGAGGCAATCTGGCTTGGTGAGCTTAGCTCCTCTGCGTGCTCTCCCTCTGACTCTGTGGGAGGACAGAGAGCCCACGGCCTTATCTGCTCCTTCAGGTAGGGTCTCTGCCTGGTTTGGCTGTGTCTTAGAGTACAATTTGGCACCTGGCACACAATTGGTTCTTAGTACCTATTTGTTCCATGACTGAATGATCAGGATCCTGAAGGGATAACTGGGAGAGAGGAGGCACTGTTCTCTCTTCTCTTCTCAGCTGTGTCACTTAACAGCAAGTTACTTTCTCTCACAGGCCTCTATTTCCTCGTTTTAAGCAATTAATCCAAATGACAGCAAGAGTCCTTCTAACATCTGAATTTGTGTAAAAACATTTAGCCCATCTTTGCTTTAGTTTCCTCATCTATGAAATAGGCAGGATGAAAATGTCAACCTCCTATGAGGCTACCAGATAAAATATAGGATGCACAGTTAAATTTGAATATCAGATAAACAAGAAACACATTTAAAAAATATAAATATGTCCCCAATATTGCATGTGCTCGATAAATACCTGGAGTGCTGAATTGCTGTAAAACGTTCAGCTGGATCTGTTTATTGCATTCAGAGTTGTGCTTCTAGGCTGATAATGATTACATGGTGTTCAGTCGACTAGTGTTTATTAAACATCTACTATACGCCAGGCACTGTTGAGGCCCTGGTGGTACAGCAGACAATGAAATAAGCAATATCTCCATTTTCACTAGGCTTAAATGATAGTTAACAAAAATAATTTTGTTATAATAACAAAATGTCACAGAGTCATCATGCTCAGAAGGCTAGGGATGCTCAGAGTCATCATGCTCAGAAAGCAGGCTAAGGGCCAGAGACCATGCAGAGGGCTGAGAGAGGGAGTTAAGGAGCCTGAGGAACTCAACTCTGTGCGCCTGAGAGCCCCCAGCCTCCACAAAGACCTATGTTTGTAAAGCAAGACTCTGATATTATCTTGTAGAAATGCCCAAAGATGCATAAAAATGTCGTTGATTCAGAAAGGTCATGCACCAAATTTGGGATAAAATGAGCAGTTGCTTGGATGGAAGAGATATATAAACCATTTAGCCAATTTTAGCTGGGCTTGGGCTGCAACCAAGTTTCCTGACAGCCAGGAGAAAGTTCTGGGAGGTAATGTGGCTTGTTAAAAAGGTGATTCTGATTTTCAGTTCTGTTTACCAGTGTGGTTGGGTTAAGTCTTGACAACGTTTTTAAAAAATGTGTTTTAAAATTTTAGCTGAAACAACAGTGAAGGGTTTTTCTTTGAGACATCTTTATCTGCACTGAGCCAGTGCTCTTTGGTTCAAGGATTCGCTGGGGCCTATTAAGTTAATAGCTGTAGAGAGGTTACCTTTCTTTCTTTCTCTCTTTTCTTTCTTTCGCTCTCTCTTTTTCTTCCTTTCCTCCTTTCTTTCTTTCTCCCTTTCCTTTCCTTTCCTTTCCTTTCCTTTCCTTTCCTTTCCTTTCCTTTCCTTTCCTTTCCTTTCCTTTTTCCTTTCCTTTCCTCTTTCCCTTCCCTTCCTTTTTTGAGATGGGATCTCACCCTGTCACCCAGGCTGGAGTGCAGTGGTACAATCTTGGCTTACTGCAACCTTGTAACCTCCATTTCCTGGGTTGAAGTGACTCTCCTGCCTTGGTCTCCTGAGTAGCTGGCATTACAGGTGCTCGCCACGATGCCTGGCTAATTTTTGCATTTTTGGCAGAGATGGGGTTTCACCATGTTGGCCAGGCTGGTCTCGACCTCCTGACCTCATAATCTGCCTGCCTCAGCTTCCCAAAGTGCCGGGATTACAGGTATGAACCACTGTGCCCAGCTAAGGTCACCTTTTTTATACCCCTGGCAGCTCAGAGAAATCACAGCATTATTGCTGTCACTACCTTTATGATGGCATTAGGCCTCTAAGTTTCTTCTACCCTAGACTGTTCTGTGTGCTTGCCTCTGTTTCATGTTACAAATTAGACTTCTATTTGGTTTAATATAGAGGTTTTTTTGTCTGCTACAAGAACTGGATATGTAAAACTCATTAACATTTCTCAAGTAAAACTAGAGAAAACAGTTTATGGAGTTTCTCTTTTATCATTTTCAACTCATAGTGGTTAGGTTCTTAGAAACAGCCATGATTCTTGGTTTATAAAAGAAGATAATCACAGATACCTGGGGAAATTTAGTTTTGGTGGAGGAGAGGCAGTTCTGTGAAAGTCTACAGCAGAAAGTACTCACGAGCCTTTTTTTTTTTTGAGACAGGATCTCATCCTGTCGCCCAGGCTGGGCATAGTTGTGCGATCATGGCTCACTGTGGTCTCAAACTCCCAGGCTCAAGTAGTCCTCCCACCTCACTTTCTGAGTAGCTGGGACTACAGGCACATGCCAGCATGCCCAGCTAATTTTTGTTTGTTTTTTGTGGAGATGGGGTTTCATCATGCTGGCCAGTCTGGGCTCAAACTCCTGGACTCAAGCAATCTACCTGTCTTGGCCTCCCAAAGTGCTGGGATTGCAGGCGTGTGCCACCGTGCCTGGCCCCATGAACTTTTTCCATCAGAGAAGCTCTCAGGCACATTGCTGGCTTCTCAAATGCTGTCGTCTGAGGAATAATTGCCTCTCTGAATCCCCCCAGACACAATTCCCACACAAACTGGACATCTGAACATCTGGGCCCTGGGAGCTCTGTGAGAATGTTGTTGGACACTGGAGTCGGGAGGGATGAGGGACCAATCTCTGCCCAGATGACTAGGGCTTCTCTGAGTCTGAGCCAGACACCAGATGAAGGAACAGCTCACCCATGACGAGGGTGAGAGCACACATGTTTGCAGGCATCAGGGATGTGTTTACTCACTGACGCTTTCATCAGGTCACCCTCCCCAAGATAATAAGCTGAGGTACTTGACCAAGTTCTGCCTTTGAAAAGCTTGGAATCCCTGAAGGGCATGGTGCCAGGGTGGGCACCCAAATAGATAATGCAGAAAGCCAAGCACAGACGTTCTAGCTGGAACCAGGAGAGAAGGCTCTGAGACCTGGCTCCGGTAAAACTCAGAACTGCTTCCAGGGTGAGCATGAACCATCTCCCCAATGGCAGCCACTAGGGTGGCTGAGATAGCTGAGTTAAGGGGTCATTCTCATTCATGTGGCTCCTTTGATCTGAGGTTGGTAAACCTTGTTTTCTTACCCAGTCACAAACAGCTGCCGCCTGCTTTCTACCTGGAAGCTCCAGGGATTAGGGGAGAACTAACAAGAGTCAGTCTGTAAAGTACTTCCAGATTTTTTTTTTTTTTTTGAGACGGAGTTTCGCTTTTGTTACCCAGGCTGGAGTGCAATGGCGCAATCTCAGCTCACCACAACTTCCACCTCCTGGGTTCAGGCAATTCTCCTGCCTCAGCCTCCTGAGTAGCTGGGATTACAGGCACGCGCCACCATGCCCAGCTAATTTTTTGTATTTTTAGTAGAGACGGGGTTTCACCATGTTGACCAGAATGGTCTCGATCTCTTGACCTCGTGATCCACCCGCCTCGGCCTCCCAAAGTGCTGGGATTACAGGCTTGAGCCACCGCGCCCGGCCTGCTTCCAGATTTTTAAGTGCACCCACTGTGAACGTAGATCAGTGCTTCAAGCTGCAGACTTTTGAAGGCAGGATGATCTGTCCTGAAGGGCCCCAGAGGCCACTGGGCCCAACCTTCTTATGTGGATGGGAGGATGAAACCAAGTCTCCAGGGAGGGATGGGGCTTGCCCAGGGTTCCATGGCGTTTTCCGGCAGAGCAAGAATCAGCACTGTCTCCTGGCTTCTGGTTCTGAACTCTTTCTCCTCCACCTGAGAGCCTTGCTCTGATGGGGCAGTGGCGGGTCATCTGTTTAACACAGCTCTGCTTTTGGCCGTCTTGCGGAAGGGCCTTCTTGTCACAGGTTTCACTGGCTGCCCTTGGGAAGATTGCCTTCAGATAAGATGCAGCCACGGTCCCCTGCCTGGAGCTGCCTCTGTCGTTACACCCGTGCCACCTTTCGAGACCCAGAGGAGCGCTAGACCAGGATGCCTTCTTGGACTCGCTGATCTTCTTTGTTCCCGAGTACCTATGCTCTGTGCCACACCCTCACTTTGGTCTCTCTCCAGCCATTACCTGCTCCTATGGCCCACTCTTCCTTACTGAATTGCAAGCTCTGAGAGGTAGGAAATACCTTTCCACCTTCTCACTCATTTAAGTACCTAGCATGGAGCTGGGCATAGAGTTGGCTCACAGTGAATGCTGAAGAGCATGCATGCCTGAGTGACTCTTTCTCATTCTTCCTTGACAGATTCGGACCCCAGTACTTTGGACTCCCAGTCTTCGACAACCTTGTTCCTCTCCTCGGAAGAGCCAGGCCCCTCCACCGCCGCCCTGCCTTCTCCCTCGTCCTCCTCCTGCGAGCCCCAGGCCTTTTCCCCGGGCCCGCCAGTGCTGCCCCCGCTGCTGCCCCCGCTCCCCGCAGCCTCGGCGCCTCCGGGCCCCGGCACCTCCCGGCGCGCAGGCCTCTACTCAGTCGTCGCCTCCTCCCCTGAGGCCGCTCCGCGCCTGGTGGACTGGCTGCCCGGCTGTGCCTCGATCACCTCTCCGGCCACACGCGGGGATGACAGGGAGCGGCCGCCGCCAGTCCTGGCACCGGCCCAGGGCCCAGAAAGGAGCTGCGCCCTTCGCCCCGGCGCCGCGGGCAGGGAGGAGGTCACCGTGGACGCGGGTTCATCCCCGCCGCCCCGCGCCGGGCCCGCCGCTGCGGCGAGCTTGGAGGCCAACGTTGGGGACATTCTGGTGGAGCTGCGGACCATGAACGGCCACCTGGACGTCATAGCGCGGGCCCTCACCAAACTGGCCTCGTCCCTGGGGCCCCAGCCTGAGCCCATGCCAGATGCTCCTGATGCCGACTGATGGAGCTCGGCGATGCGGGGACGCCCGGGCACCAAGCGATCCGAGCACCAGGCATCCCTGCCTGTCCTTCCCCAGCAGCGAAGCGCGCCGGGAGGAGCAGTCGCTCTGCGCAGCTGCCTATCGGAACGCAGGGCCCTAGTGTTTCAGGGTGAAACAGACCGGGGTGCGCCTTCCATCCTCCTCGGCTCTCTCACGGCGGCACCTGCCTCGGCTTCCTGGTCCTTCACATGCCCTTCTCTTGTTTTGAGCTTCTGGCAGAAAAAAATGCCTGGAGACGGCGGTGGGACTCCACGAAAGATGCTTAGAGAAACGCTCTTTCACATCCCGCTCCTGCGACGTCCGCGTGTCGTGGAGGGAGCAGAGCTTGAAGCGTGGCATCAAAGCAGCAGCGAGGGCAGCCCCAGCCTTCCTCCCTGGCGTTGGTGGGGCATCCATCTCTGGAGACGTTCACAAGTTTGTTTGTTTGTTTAAATCGTTTTTGGAAAAAACCATTTTGTTCTCATAGCCACATTTCAAGAAGTTTGGAAAATAGAGAAGTGAAACAAAATCTGGTTTATTTGGGGAAAAGGGGGGTATTTAAGTCTTTCTTATGAATAAGAAAGTATTTTGCATAATAAAAAATTTTTATATCCACTTTCTGGACGTTGGGCTCTCCCTGCCACGTTTCTTCCTTCGCACAGCCGCCTTCTCTCTGCGCCTGCGCTTAGTTGCCTGTCCCAGCCCTCCTATAGTCCCTGAGTTGTTGTTGAACTTTGCTCATACTTGTGAAGTATAAGCTTCTTTTTAAATTTAATATACTTTATCTTTTGTTAAGAGACAGAGTCTTACTCTGTTGCCCAGGCTGGAGTGGAGGGGTGCAATCTCAGATCACTGCAGCCTCTACTTTCCAGGCTCAAGTGATCCTCCCACCGCAGCCTCTCAAGTAACTGGGACTATGGGCGTGAACCACTGCACCTGACAGCAATTAGCTTTTAATGGTTCTTCTGATTCTTTCCATAATTCCCAGATCTCCATAAAGTTGACAAACCCTCTCCTCCCCTTTGGATTGGGCAGAAACCAAGTTCCAGAGTGACGGGGCAATAAATATGAAGGAAGCCAGCATCCCCAGCCTCCACTCACTGCCAGAATGACCAGCTTCCCCAGTTGAGACAACCAAAAAATGTCTCCAGACATTGCCACTGTCCCCTGGTTGAGACCCACTAACCTATGTAGAATCTCAAAAATTTGAGATGACCCACACTCTCCAGGATCTGGCTTCCCATGGTGAGGGAGGGAGCTTCTCCTTTTCCTATTAGAATTTTAATAAAGGGTGCTTCTTTGCTAGAAGCAAACATGCTATGCTGCTCTTTCTTCAGAAACAAATGAAAAGGCCGGGCATGGTGGCTCATGCCTATAATCTCAGCACTTTGGGAGGCCAAGGCAGGTGAATCGCTTGAGGTCAGGAGTTTGAGACCAGCCTGACCAACATGGTGAAACCTCATCTCTACTAAAAATAAAAAAAAAATTAGCTGGGCATGATGGTGCATGCCTATAATCATAGCTACTTGGGAGGGTAAGGCAGGAGAATCGCTTGAACCCAGGCGATGGAGGTTGCAGTGAGCTGAGATCACGGCATTGCACTCCAGCCTGGGCAACAAGAGTGAAACTCTGTCAAAGAAAGAAAGAAAGAAAGAAAGGAAGGAAGATGGAAAGAAAAAAAGAAAGAAAGAAAAGAAAAGAAAAGAAAGAGTCTGAGACCACATCTGAGGCCACAATGGACAGAATAAAATCCTGTCTGGGAGCACTTGCAGGGCTCACAGCTGGTGTTCTGGGGCAGGTAGCAGCCTAGTCTGAAGTTCTGCACCTCTAGTGCCTCACAGATTTGCAGGAACTATCTGGAGAGCTAGTGAAAATGCGGATTCTAATTCAGAAGCTCTGGAGTGGGGCCTGAGACTCAGCATTTTTAGATAGCTCCAGGGAAATGCTGATGCTACTGGTCCAAGACACACTTTGAGTAGCAAGTAAGTAAGGAGGGGTTGTCTGCTCTGGAATTCCTGCTGGTTTGAGTTGCCACTGTTCCCCAGGAGCTTCTGCTTGTCTTTGTACCCCACAGTGCCTAGATTCCTCAACTCTAACCAAAGCTTTGGGGATTTTTTTTTTTTTTAAGTCAGAGTATGTTAGCTCTAGCCTCCCACTTCTAAAAATGTTTCAGTGAAGTTCAATCCAATTCAACAAACATTTACTGAGTGCTACAATGCTGGTTACTCAAGGACACAAAATGAATAGGATAAGGTCTCTGCCCTCCAGGGGATCACAGCCTGGTGTCTCACGCAGAGAGGGATTATCAACAGTTCCAGTTTGTAAGCAATTTGAAGTGGGTGGAGAGAGGCAGCAAGTTGTGGTGAAATTAGTATTCAAAGGGAGGCTAGGCTTCCTGTGGTTTGATTTTGGGAGTGTTCTTTAATCCCTGTGAGCCTCAGTCTCCTGATCTGAATCAAACGGAGATAGCACCGCTGTACCACAGCCAGTCAAAATCAGACATGGATGTGATGGGGCTTGGCATTCTGGAAAGTGCTGTCCAAATGTCCTTTTATGGTTATTGAGTTATCGTTACTTCCTCTCTCCTGAGTCCTGTACCATGAGGGGACAACTCCGGTAGCGTGAGAGTCAGACTTGGGTCTGAGCTGAGCTTCCCCCTTCTTTTCTTCAGGAGGAAAATTGATGGCCCAAAGTGACTGTCCTGCCCTGTGATCTGCCCTTTAGCTGAAGAAACAGCAAAACTGGATCAACTGCGGCAACTGGGAGCATCAAGTTTTTATTCATTTGTTCATTTGAACTGTCTTTCATTCTGATTTTAACTGACTTCTTTCATATAAGGCAACAATGAAAGACCAAAATCTTTCAAGAACAAAGAGGAGCTGGCCTATAAATCCTAAATACAGATGCAGTGATTGAAATCTTTGGCCAGAAACTATCTAGGTAGCTTATGAATGTAAAACACACTCTATGTTTCATCTACCCCTAGGAGGTAACCACTGTCGATATTTTGGCAACTACTCTTTGTAACATTTGTGTCTGTATACAAATACCTACGTGTGTACAATTTTATTTAACTGTGATCATAGTATGCCTGCTGTTATGTAACTTGTTTTTTTAAATCTTGATAATAGACAATAGAAATCATTTAAAGACATTTAAAAAACAATGTTATATATGAAGCAAAATTTACTTAACCAATTTTCTATTTATGCTTCCGATTTTTCACTATTATATGCAATGCTGTAACAAATCTTCTATTGAAGAGCATGTTGTATAAGTAAATTCCTAGAGGTATGATGGCTGGGTCCAAGGGCATACACTCCTAACTTCTTTTTTCAGTACTGCTGTGGCTTCACCAAGGTTCAAAAAAGGTAAGTGAATGAATGAGAAGGAACACTGGGGTCTCGGGGTAGCTCCATTTAAAAACTGGGAAAAAGGGAAATAAAACAAAGCTATCTTTTGAAGATTAAACTTTAAAATCAGCATACAGCAGGCCAGAACAGAGATGTGTAAAATCACGCTGCAGAGATGAATCGTGGTCACTCAAGTGGTGAATGGGTCCAGTCAGGAAACAGAAGCCCGCCTCATTTTTCACACTGAGGGGATCTAATTGAGGAATCAGCAGCTGGGTGATAGAAGGCATGGAGGAGCAGTGGAGTAAGGTAAGGATAGCTGAAGACTACCAGCTGCAGGAAAGTGTGACTGGCTGTGGGCTGGAGGAGCCAAGGGGGAGTGTCTCCTTGGAACCCAGAATCGGTGTGATTCCAAGCCACGGCTATAGAACTGGGCTGCTTCAATAGGAAGCCAAGAGCAGCATTTCTAGGCCAAAGCCCCTGCCACTGCATCGACTGCCACTGTCACCCTTGAGTGTCAACAGCACTGACACAACTGCCTGAGACCCCACCAGAGACCAGCAGGGAGGAACCAGCCAGGCTTTCGGCAGTGCCTCCTCTTCACAGAACCTAACGGAAAGCTTGCTGGAGAGTATCTGGGAAATGCAGCGTGTGGAGGCTCACCCTACTGTGCCAGAGCAGAGCAAAGAAGGCTAGGAATGCAGCTGACAGCAAGTAGGCAAACGATCAGCATGAGTAGTACTGTGGATCAAAGCAGTAGGATAGCTAAAGAGAGCAACTGTCAGTCAGAGAAGGGGCCTCGCAGCCACAGAGGCACCAAAGATGGGGCACCACAGAGTGACATGGGTAGTACTCATGCCAGCAGAGGCGGGCTTGGCTCTCTGGACCCAGCCACAGGTAGAACCCTGTGGTGACCGCCACCTCCTGGCTCTCAGGCTATGTCACTAGAGGATGCTATGGGAGACTGGCCCAGAGAAGTGGCTCTGCTGTAGAGCACAGACAGGTGGGGTTTCCGAACCTTCTTGGTGGGCTGCTAGGCCCTGGGCAAGGGCAGGCTAACCAGTGTGCATTGCCACTCTGGGAGACGGGAAGGCAGAATGACCATAAGGCAGATAAGTCTTAGTCTTTTTGTGCTGCTATAACAAAATACCTAAGACTGGGCAATTTATAAACAAAAGAAATTTATTTCCTCACAGTTCTGGGGACTGGGAGGATTGCGGAACCTGTAGCTCAATGTCTGGTAAGGACTTGGTCTGTGCTTCCAAGATGGCATCCCTTGTTGCGTCCTCACATGGTGGAAGTTGGAAGGGCACAAAGGAAAAACTTCTTGTCAGTTCGCTCCAGCCCTTTTTAAGGGCAGAGCCCTCATGGCTTAATCACCTCCCAGATGGCCCCACCTCTTAATACTATCACATGGAATCTTAGGTTCCAACATACGGATTTTGGAGGGACATAGACATTCAACCATAGCCACATACCTCCCAGGGACTGGCCCTCGGCCATCTTCCTTTACCAGAAGGACATCTGCACAAGTATTTATTGGGTCCCTTTCAGGTCCTGTGTTATGTGCTCTACATACAGGATCTCATTTATTCCTTGCAGTAATCCCGTGTGCAAGGTTGGGAGATAGGGCCTATCACTCCCATTTCACTGATCAGGAAACTGAGGCATAAAAAGGTCAAGTGACTTGCCCACGGTCACACAGCTGGTACCGAACATAGACTGGATCTGTTTGTCTCCAGGGCTCTGGCTGTGCCACCTACCTGGAGCTGCCTCTCCCATTATACTTCCTCTTGGTAGTAGGTCAAAGCCTTGGGACTTTGAGCTGCCTTTGGCTAGTGGTTCTCCTGCTGGCTGGCAGCAAAGTTGCTTTCTGGAAGTACTAGGTCTCTGAAAAATGAGAAAATCCCAGGAAACTGGAGCAGAAAGCTGGAAAACAAGGAACCTTACCAAGACCCCCAGACCAGCCACATCAGTGTCGGGTAGGGAGGGAGAAAGGAGGTACTGAAGGAGAGGACAAGGTGCAGGAAAGAGGAGAGAAGCCAGTGGGCTATGCCAACGTGATGGCTCTGAAGCACCAATGGCCCCTAGGCCCTTTAAGGTCAATGGTGTTAATCACGTACAATGTGACTTGGCTGTTACTGTATGTTATCACCCTCCTCTCGCCCCCTCAGACCATCTGACTTCAACAACCAACTCTGCATGAGAACTAGGAAATGCAAAGATTTCTATAGGTCTCTGTGGTGACTGCATTAGTATCCCG